TTAAATGTAGGGGTGCTAGCTTTATAAACTTAGCACCGCCATTTTCAATCGCAATTTTCTGCTCAACCAGACGAGCACTAAAATTAGGAAGTAGGCACTAAATTAGAACTAAAATAACACTAAATTATGATCTATAATTTTTCATTTTTTTTGATGATGGTGTTGCTAGCTTCACACGGGTTAATAAATTGATAAAAATTTTAACAGGTGCTCGCGAGACATCGCATCGTGGGGACGGCTATGAAAATATTTACGAAAGTCATTAGACTGTCATAACGAGTCCTTGTTGACGAAAAGGATAAACCCGCCGGAAAGGCCATAAACTTGTAATACAAGAAGATAATGATCCGTAGACCGGCCATCCTTCATTTGGGGGGGATTAGGACCGAAGAGTTAAATACCTATTCGGGTAAGTGTCGTTACACTCCGGAAATGCATTAAACGATTTCCTTATAACAGATAAATGCGAAACAAATATTTAAGAGAAATTTACCACAAAAACCTGCTACAACCGGCTTATGGGGGTTTAAAAAGGGAAATCGAAGGATTATACGTTTTGTTATTTTGGTAATACTGGTTGTGACAGATAATTAAATTGTAAATTCTTAGTAGGTACTGATTTTTATACAGGGTGACTAATTTGGAACGCCCTGTATTACATGCCTATTTGGATATAAGGTAGATTGGGGCAAATGTAAAAATGGGGTAAATGTAATATTTTTACCTATTATGTTAATGTTTTTATTATTTTTATAGTTCTTTTGTGCATTAGACAGGGTTTGTTTCTTATTTTTTCTTTATTATTTTGTAGCTCTGTTATTTTTTGAAATAAATAAATAAACAGCATATCCAAATATTTTTTTACAATTGCCCCATATGTTTTTCTATATAATTGTATTGCCCTTTAGAACCGTTTAACATATTGCCAAGATTTTAAAAAATATGTAAAATCGTTTTCTACATTTTTCAAAAAACTTTTTAATACCTCGATTCTTTAGTTAAGGAAGTTGTGAATTTAATGTGGTATCAGCATTTCAAATAAGAGAAAAAATAAAGCCACATTTTAGGATTTATTTTGAACTATTCAAATTTTACAACCGATTTGTCCCAGTCTACCTTATTAAGTTGTATAAGGGGTGGCAAATTCGGTTCACCCTGTATTATTTCCAATTATAATCTACTGGTTATTGGGAACACAAGTTGCGTATGAATAATAAATCATTTTAGAAGAAACAAACGGCCTCTTTGTGATGCCGTTGGAAAATTAGCGATTTTACGATCGCTTAGAAACCGAACGCTTTGTATATTTATTTTCTCCGAGTGTTTGTTTCGTATAACAAGTAGATTTTACCCATAGGTAGTTTTGTTTATTGCTCACGAATTTATTACGTGGTAAGGAAAGGCGGGAAAATATGCGGGGAATTCGAAAAATATGTATATATTTAGAATTCTTCGAGTATACGAGGGGAAGTCGATAAATTTTCTATATACATTACTATACGATTAAGTAATAATTATTATGTAAATAATTGTACTCTAATTACACTTGAAAAAAATATGGTATCTCTAATAAAGAATTTTCTACAAAATATTATAGCGTTTCGCTAATCTCGCATCCATCACAGTAGGCTTGTCAACCGGCCTGCTAATTAACCTAAAGTATGATAGATGAGGGTGGATTCGAAAAACCAAAAAAAAAACGCAAATTTCTACTTTCTATTTACACGTAAATTACCGGGATTTCTTCGACATCCCCTCGTATATACACCGTTGGAAAATAATTCGCGCATAATAGGGAAATCAATGTTAAATTCTTAACTGGCTGAAATCCAGTATACCAGTGTATATTTCAATAGAACGTCGCGATTAATTCTAATAAATTTAATTGTTCTACTGGACTTCACATCGTAATTTGGTTTGGTTAGATTAAAAATCAAATAATTTCGATGGTTTCGACACTTCGACAGTATCAAAACGGGTTAGGATGAGTGAATGTCGAGTCGATTAAAAAGAAATGAGAATTTTTAAACGATAATTTATTGAAAAAATATCACTAATATTAAAATAGAATTATATAGATATTTGCCACAATGGCTTGAAAAAGAAAGTAAATTCTAAGAAAATAATAAAAAGGAAACTCCAAAAATAAACTTAAAGATTATTTTAAAACAGAAAATAAAAGAACTCTAAAAACTAGTCCACCGCATTCTGCTAAACAATAGCTAAACCTGTCATACAGATGTCATTTCATATTAATGAGCTGAGGTATAATTCTAGCAGAAAATTGAATTATTTTTTTCCCTTATTTCAACAAGATTTGTTGCTCTTTCAAAACTGTACCTACCGATACACTTATTTTTTTGAAATATCCCAAAAAAAATAGTTTCTAAATAATTTTGTACCTCATACTTAACACAAATAACTTTGTACCTCTACAAATCGCGGAGTGAAGTCCAGTAGAACAATTAAATTTATTAGAATTAATCGCGACGTTCTATTGAAATCTACACTGGTAGATTGGATTTCAACCGGTTAAGAATTTAACATTGATTTCCCTATTATGCGAAATTAAATTTCCAACGGTGTATAAGTTTAGAGAGATCCTCATGCGAAAACCTCAAGCTCCTGTGGCGGTACCAGGACGCAACTCCCGCCCCGGATTAAATCCAAACACACCTCGGGGCCCCTTCCCGATATGCTCTCGGTTTAAAGGAAACTTGTTAGAGGAAAACTTTCGCTCTAACAAGGTAAAATACGGAAGTTTCGCGTACGGCGCACAAAAGAACGGTAATTACCGAGTACATGTTCGACTAAAACTCGTCGAAGTTGCCTCCGATTCGGCCTGTGTAGTAGGATTTAATTAAGAGGAATGCGAGAAATTTCGGAATTTTATATACGAAACTTTTTTACCAGTGTAACTACAACAATTTATAGTACTACACTAAAAAAAGTCATTTGTGTGTAACAAACGATCGCTACACTAAGAAAACGAATCGCTGCGAAATTTTTCAAAAAGAACATTCATTTTATTTAGCTCATTCGCGACACGTTCGTCGATTGTTTTTGGTACGCGAACGCGCCAATGGGAGCGAAGAATCGAGCCGTGCGTCGTGGAATATTAATCGATTCACACTGTATTAAACGCGTCACGCGATATTCGATTTTTTATTTATTAGGTAGCTTGTAATGTCTCGTTGTCGCTTGTTGTTCGCCTCTTTTTTTTTTTTTGTTCGTTTCACGGGAATTTGTTGCTGTTGTTTTCCGAACAATGGCGACGAAAAAAAAGATAATAGAACACGAAAATGAAAATCGGGAACGCTCGGCGAATATTAATGCGATTTTAATAAGATTGAATTAGCGACTGCTTGGTTATTTCTTGTTGTAAAATTATGTGGTTGAATTGACGGATACTTTTTATTAGTGTAATCATTAGTATAATATTGTGATAGACTGAGAAAAAAGTTTAGTGAATTTTGTTGATTTTATTTGGGAATTTTGATAGATAATCATAATCCCGCCAGAATTTAAATTGCACTACACTCTGCCGAAAGTTGTTTTGTGCATTTTATTGAATTAATTTATGATTGAATGTTGATGATATTAAATAAATTTATTCCTAAATAGATTGTATTATAAGACAAAAGTGTGTCTATTGAAGCTAATTTGTCGTTAATATTCCCGCCAGATCCCTCCGCTTTGCGCCCATATTTATTCATTATTTACAACCGAACAACTAAAATAGCTCGGTAATGATAATGATGAAAAAAAAAAACAAAAATACAAATCCGATAAAAAACAATAGATTGTAAAGCGACGGGCACGAACCATTTATAAATCGAAAAGGAATATTAATGATTGAAAATGCGGTTGGTCTCCCTTCGTTTCCTACACAATAAAAATGTATCCCGCGCATTTCGAATGCTTAATTTCCATTTATCGATGCCGCATTAAAAAGAAATTAAATCGAACACGTGAGCAGGAATTTTGCTCGATACATCATTTAGAAGTAAAAGTGGGTACTATTTGGAAAACGCTTCGTGATCGAAACAATGGCTTTCACGCCTCTTAATTTCTCTTAATTCCTTCACTTCCATGCAGCAGGAAGATTCGATTTGGAATTTATTTCTTCACTTCCATGCAACAGGAAGCTTCGATTTGGAATAATTTCTCTTATTCCTTCACTTCCATGCAGCAGGAAGATTCGATTTGGAATTTATTTCTTCACTTCCATGCAGCAGGAAGCTTCGATTTGGAATAATTTCTCTTAATTCCTTCATTTCCATGCAGCAGGAAGCTTCGATTTGGAATAATTTCTCTTAATTCCTTCACTTCCATGCAGCAGAAAGATTCGATTTGGAATTTATTCCTTCACTTCCATGCAGCAGGAAGATTCGATTTGGAATTAATTCCTTCACTTCCATGCAGTAGGAAGCTTCGATTTGGAATTTATTCCTTCACTTCCATGCAACAGGAAGCTTCGATTTGGAATTTATTCCTTCACTTCCATGCAGCAGGAAGCTTCGATTTGGAATTTATTCCTTCACTTCCATGCAACAGGAAGCTTCGATTTGGAATTTATTCCTTCACTTCCATGCAGCAGGAAGCTTCGATTTGGAATTTATTCCTTCACTTCCATGCAGCAGGAAGCTTCGATTTGGAATTTATTCCTTCACTTCCATGCAGCAGGAAGCTTCGATTTGGAATAATTTCTCTTAATTCCTTCACTTCCATGCACCAGGAAGCTTCGATTTGGAATTTATTCCATCACTTCCATGCACCAGGAAGCTTCGATTTGGAATAATTTCTCTTAATTCCATCACTTCCATGCACCAGGAAGCTTCGATTTGGAATTTATTTCTTCACTTCCATGCAGCAGGAAGCTTCGATTTGGAAGTTTCTACTCACCGTACATGTAATAAAAAATCGCATATCCTATAGCTAGAGTTTCCCGCCGCCCAAACGAATTTCCCGCCCTTTCGAAAACCCCGCCAAAAACGTACCTGATGCGAGTAATAATCCGCGCCGTCGGCGTGCCTGATGCGCATCTCCTGCTCGATGTCCGGATGCGCGCCCATCTCGTGCTGATGCTGGGACACGTCCAAATCGCCCGACATCTCCTGGCCCATGCCCTGATGCATCTCCTGATGCATACCCACGCCCATCATCAGCGGCGAAACGTGCGACTCCCAGCCGTCCTCCATCTTACCAACAGAAAAATAACTAACCAACAACGAAACCAAAACAAAAAATCACCACCCACTAGTCTCGATTAACTCGACATTTCTTGTACGCGCGCGTACGATTCTTCGCTGTTTTTTTTTTTTTGTATGTCGTATATACGAGGGTTGTTCGATGATTACGATGCACTGTAAGTCACTGTTTTGATGTCACTAATATCGCGAGTGTTTTTCGTCGATGATGATTCTAATTGTAGTAAATCCAACGGAGTTGTGTGTGTGTGTATGTCCGTATGGTTCGGTGTAACAATGTGTGTGTGTGCAGGACACACGGCGGTCGTTCCGCGGGCGACGTGAAGAGTATGCGTGAGGGCCGGTGGTGACCGCCCCCCTCTATCCCCACCGCGGATGCACCGGTGCCAACCCCCCTTTTTGAACACTATTATAATTAGCTGCACGATGTACATGAACGACCCCGCGGGCTTTCGCTCATGCCGTATACCGTGTGTGTGTGCTCTCTGTGTGTATGTGTATGTGTGTATGCTCTTGCTCTCCTATTCAGCGTTGCTCTTGCAAAACAAGCGACTGTTGCCGGGTTGCTATTGGTCGGCGCTGACGGTGAAAGGCACCGCGGCGCCGCCGGGGATCGTCCGTGGACCGAAATCTATCAATTCGCGATATTCGTAGTTGATGGTATTAATATCTGCAGTAATCGATGTTGGTGGTTATAGCTTGGAATGTTTTTTGTACCAATCGGAAATTGTACTGAATGAAATTGTACAGTTTGAGATCGGTATACGAATTGTTGTGTTTCTATGAGTGATTCAAGAATCTACTACTCCGTTAATCTGGGTCTAGTTGCAGAATTCTTTTCATATCAATACAAATTGTTAAGTTTTTATGAATGGTCCTAAATCGTCTACCAGAATATACCGCCTGAAATTGACCAACATGAATCTATAGGTCCAGTTGCAGGATTCTCTTGACAGCGATATACAAATTGCGGTGTTTCTATGAATGATTCAAAAGTCTACCACTCCGTTTATCTAGGTCTATTATAGTTGCAAGATTCTCTTCACATTAACACATCATTACAAATTGTTGGGTTTTTATGAATGGTCTTAAATCGTCTGCCAAATCTACCACCAGAAATTGACCAACATGAATCTATAGGTCCAGTTGCAGGATTCTCTTGACAGCGATATACAAATTGCTGTATTTCTATGAATGATTAAAAAATCTGCCACTCTATTAATTTAGGTCCAGTTGCAGGATTCTCTTGACACCGATATACAAATTGCGGTGTTTCTATGAATGATACAAAAGTTTACCACTCCGTTAATCTAGGTCTATTATAGTTGCAGGATTCTCTTCACATCAACACATCAATACAAATTGTTTGGTTTTTATGAATGGTCTTAAATCGTCTACAAGAATCTGCCACCAAAATATGACAAACATGAATCTAGGTCCAGTTGTAGGATTCTCTTGACACCGATATACAAAATGCCGTGTTTCTATGAGTGATTCAAAAGTCTACCCACTCCGTTAATTTAGGTCTATTATAGTTGCGGGATTCTCTTTACATCAACACATCAATACAAATTGTTAGGTTTTTATGAATGGTCTTAAATCGTCTGCCAAATCTACCACCAGAAATTGACCAACATGAATCTATAGGTCCAGTTGCAGGATTCACTTGACACCGATATACAAATTGCTGTGTTTCTATGAATGATTCAAGAATCTACTACTCCGTTAATCTGGGTCTATTATAGTTGCGGGATTCTCTTCACATCAATACAAATTGTTGGGTTTTTATGAATGGTCCTAAATCGTCTACCAGAATCTACTACCAGAATATGACAAACATGAATCTAGGTCCAGTTGTAGGATTCTCTTGACACCGATATACAAATTGCTGTGTTTCTATGAATGATTCAAAAATCTGCCACTCCAATAATCTAGATGTTGTTGCAGGATTCTCTTCACACCAATACAAATTGTTGGGTTTTTATGAATGGTCATAAATCGTCTACCAGAATCTACCACCAGAATAAGACCAACATGAATCTATAATAGGTCCAGTTGTAGGATTCTACTCGTATACACCAATTTAAATTGCTATTAGATACTGTTCTAAGTGAATTTAGATCCAGTTCCTAATACCAAATTACTACGTCTATATGTATTATGATAACAAATTTGTCTACCAAAATCTACCATGTAGGAACGTAGGAGCAGTTCCAGGATTCTATACACACCTAGTTATTTTATTACAAGATCTTTATGATATTCAGGATGACCCCCATGATCTTGCATTTCTAATTTTTCTAATATTACCTCTTCAACTTCCATACTATCACAACCTCCTGCAAATTATCCTCCTATGTTGCTATGTATAGTCATCAACATCAACTTATTTCCATCCTTAATTCCTCTACAAACTACAATTATCATAATATCTTCATCATCAAATTGTCAATCTTACAAATTTCCATCGTCATGTAAGTTTAAATAAATTATTTAGTGTTTGATTCCCTTGGATTTTTTTCCACGATTTAATGAAGTTCTTATAATGTTTAAAATTTCGTCCACCTTTGTGTTATTTGCGACCCATTACAACATTATAGAGGTCTTTATTAGCAAAAAAAATGACGGTATAATTTTTCATTGTAGAACTCCAACGACTTTAATAAGATATTTGTGTTGTTGATAACGTTTTACATAATTGATTTCATTCGCTAATGGACTCGATTAGGGTAATTAAATCAATTAAATATTTGCAATGTACCTATTTACCTCGTATTTACTCAAATTGCTCGGTTTTAACGAAACTTTTCGTTCGTTTTAACTGGAATAATAATGGGAATAATGCGAAAAAAAAAATTAAACGTTTCCTTCGACTTCCATAATGGTTGTTTCGTAACGAAATTACCCAAATTCCGTAACGGGCTGGAGGTAAACTGGTTAATAACAATTACCTGGTCATGTCGGTCGACATTTTTTTTATCGTGCGACCGAAAACTATCTATCTAGATTCTAGATACTCGAATTTCTCGAAAAAATTGTGTTTGTATGTCGAGGAACTTGATTTTTACTCGTTTGAAAATTGCCTTAGTTTTATTCAGGAAAGCTGGTTTTATATTTGGGAATTAGAGAGAAATTGTGGAAATTGTTATTTGCAGCTAAAGAGTTCAAACATTTATCGACAAATTTCACAGTTATTTTTTATTGGTGTAGCGAAATTAATTCGCTAAACTGCACTAAGAAAAACGATTTATCACTAATGTATCATTCTGTAAATGCGAATGATAGTTAATGTATATTTAATTTTCATCAATTTCTCTAACTAGCTAAGCAACTTGACAAAATATTTCGATTTTTATATCAAACAAGGCAACATCTGATCGATCACTCGAATTTGTTTGCAATCAAATCAACGCTGGAAGATAATTTTTCCATAAGTATTTACCCATTGTATCGAGACTATCGAGATAACGATAAAATCGTTCTATAAATATTACCCATTTAGGCTCGGAATCGAGTTTAATTAATTGCAAAATTAGTGATTAAAAGAAAAATGCATTCGTTTACAATACTATTATCAATCATCGCCACCTGTAAGTATGTGCAGGAATTCAATTTATATCATAATAATTAATATAAAATCAGACTTAGTTTACTCCAACGGGGAGATAACAATCAAGAAAATCACCGGCGGTGTTAGCGGTACAGGCAACAGTTCACGTTACTGGGATTGCTGCAAACCTACTTGTTCTTGGCCTGGAAATGTCCAGTACAAGCAACCTGTTAAAGCCTGCAAAGCCGACGGAAAAACTCCCAATGATCCGGAAAATCAATCCGGTTGCATCGGAGGTCAATCCTACACTTGCACCCAGCAGCATTGCTACTCCAAAAATGACACCCTAGCTTATGGTGAGCCTAAAAATCTTTAGAAATTGGTTAGATTGCACAATGGTGGTCCAAAAAGCACTCTAAGTTGATCCAAAGTTTGACCAAAGCTGGTCCAATAAGGTCCCGTTTGGAAGAATTAGTGAAGAGTTTGTACCAATTTTGTGTAGTGGAAAGAATGAATGTTTCGGTATCAACTCATCTAGCTGTATACAAATTGCTGTGTTCCTATGAATGATTCAAAAGTCTACCACTCCGTTAATCTAGGTCTATTATAGTTGCAGGATTCTCTTCACGCCAATACAAATTGTTAAGTTTTTATGAATGGTCTTAAATCGTCTACCAGAATCTACCAGAATCTACCACCAGCATATGAGCAACATGAATCTAGGTCCAGTTGTAGGATTCTCTTCACATCAATACAAATCGTTAGGTTTTTATGTTTATCCAAAGTTTGACCAAAGCTGGTCCAATAAGGTCCCGTTTGGAAGAGTTAATGAAGAGTTTGTACCAATTTTGTGTGGTGGAAAGTATGAATGTTTCGGTATCAACTCATCTAGCTGTAAACCCCAAATTCTGGTAGACTTGGTGCTAACATCTGAGGCTACCCAACGAGGTAATTGAGGTAATCGAGTAAAAAAAAAAACTATTTCTGGTTTACAATCAGGCTTCGTGGCGGCCCAATTCAACGGTGCAATGACCAAAGGTCGCAACATGTGCTGCGCCTGCGTACTACTCACCTTCCACACCTACTGGCCTTCCACGTTGAACGGCAAACAGCTACTCGCCCAAGTGACTAACACCGGCAACGACGATCCGGACCCCAAGGACAATCTCTTCGACATCGCCATGCCCGGCAGCGGCGTCGGGTACTACGACAAGGGTTGCACCACGCAGTGGAACACCACGGAGGAGATTTGGGGCAACCAGTACGGCGGGCTCGATCACGAGCGCGATTGCTACAATCTACCGGAGCCTTTGGTGGACGGTTGCTTGTTCAGGTTCCAGTGGATGGCGGCTTACTCGAACCCGGACGTCTCCTTCGAGGAGGTGGAGTGTCCGCGGGAGTTGCTCGATATCAGCGGATGTCCGCCGGTTTCGCCACCGTAATACGTTGAATTTAGTATACAGGGTGGTCCAGAACTCACGCCCCACCGGGAAATGCCTTGTGGAAGCGACAATGGAGATGCCAAAATTGGAATCGAAAACATGAAAAAGTTGTTCTTTTGGTAAATAAAGAGGTTCAAAATCGACCAATCCCAGTAGGAATTCAAATCCACGAAAATGACGTGAATTAGTTAAGGTGTGATCTTTTATTCAGCGGTTGAACAACCGATGTCATCAAACTGTTCATTTATTCAGCGATTTTTTTAACTTTTGTCATCTGTCAACGATCTTTTTCTCATCGATGAAACAGCGATTAGTCATCTGATTAATCGGATTCTGAAGAGGATGGATCTGGTTGACAGATGAATTGTAACCCATATTTTTCATTCCATGATCGGTTTCGGTTTTGATCTTATGTTCCATGCTGAAGTTGTGCATTCAACGTGCATTCAATTTTTTAATTTGTTTTGCTGGTTTTGCAATTTGCAATGGATTCCGAAATCTGCTATTGCATGAGTTTTATTGATTTCTTCGTTTATTAAAAATAGTTCCAATAACTCATCACTGCCACTGTTATTTGAGGACTCTTCACTTTCAGGTTCTGATGATGAATCGGATGAATATAACATATTTTTTTGCAATCAAATAAAACTCCATTTTTTTATAATTTCCCTCACATTTAAAAATTCAAATTCAAATTGTCAATGTCAACGTCAACGTCAACGTCAAAATTTCCAACCATCCAGCAATTTGTTCCTATATTCACATAAATCAATTTCATCAGGAATCAATCATGACGTCATTTGACATTAATCATAGGTGAAACGGAGATGGAAAAAAGATCATACCTTTATACACCAATTTGACATTATTGAAAGATTCTACGTCCTTTTCACTTTCAAGGTTAACAAAAGCTGCCAAAATCAGCTGCGACTATTGATCAAAGATTTGCTTCCAAATCGATCATTTAGGAGCTTCGTTGTGCTGATATCAAACCTACAGATTTTTTTATTGCTTCAAAAGTGGTTCGAATCGAATGATCCATTTTCTGATCGATTTTAAAGCAAATCTTTGATCAATAATTACAGCTGATTTTGACAGCTTTTGTTAACCTTGAAAGTGAAGACATAGAATCTTTTAATAATGTCAAATTGGTATATTCACGTCATTTTCGTGGATTTGAATTCCTACTGGAATTGGTCGATTTTGAACCTATTTATTTACCAAAGGAGTAACTTTTTCATATTTTCGGTTGCAGTTTTGGCATCTCCATTGTCGTTTCCATAAGGCATTTTCCCGGTGGGGCGTGAGTTCTGGGCCACCCTGTATAATGTATATTATACGAGTGTACCCTATTGAAGGTGAATTAAAAATCGAGCAGCGAAACTTCTTTCTTGGACAGTACCGGCGTACAAGTACGAGTGGGTGACGATACATTGGGTAAAGGTTCGTTTGGAAATAAAAAATAAAATGAAAAAGAAATAAATACGAAGAGACCGAAGGCCCGAGAGCACGAACAATTTATTGTACAATTAAGATCTCTTTAGATATTCAACGCGCGTCAAGTCGACTGCGATAATAAATGGCTTTGACGGTTTTAACACGTCCACCGCCCGATATTAGAATGGCGCTTTCTGAGCGAAAAAAAAAAAATAAAATAAAATAAATAAAATCGTATAAATCACTAATTCTTTTTCAAAGCAATTATCGAACGTTTTACACGAGAAATCATTAAGATAGCGGCCCATTATAATCGCCGGGACATTAAGTATTGTTTGTAAGCGTAACAATGAGTAGTACTTACGGAAATGCATCCCGGTTTTGAGGAAAAAATTATTAGAAAAACCACTTGTCTTTTAATGTAATTGTCGTGTAGTCGAAGGAAACGTCTGTAATTTATTTAGATGGATTTTTCTACGCCGCTCGGCCGGTCACTCGATTTTACCTCGTGCGAATAAATAATTAGGCATCGAGCAGGAAATTATCGCCGTGAGAATTCGCTTTCTTTATTATGTAGGTACTTTTTATAACAACAGAATGACCGGCACAAAAAAAAATTACCTTTGAAAAAATAATTTTCTTCAAACATTTGTGCATTTCAGTGCATTATACAGGATCAACGGATCAACTTAGAAAATTGAAATTCGGGATAATGGAACTAATGCATGATTACTATATTTTGAAGTAAAATTGACAGTTGAAAATTTCAAGATGGCGACTGGGCGTCATTTTGAAAAATAAATTTAAATGGAAAGGGGGGTCTTGTGATACATCATTTTGAAGCTCCTGACAAATACTCTACAATCTTGGAATATAAAGTCAATATCTGCACCTGCTACAAAATAGCAGAACATTTAATAATTACCTGAATACATCGACGTTTAACGTCATAATTTGAGGAAATAAGCTGAGTTCAGTTCAAAAAATGCTCGAAATGGTTGCCTTGAACTTCTTGATATAAGAACAGCCTATCCGAACATTTTCGAACATAGTAACTTCGATATTTCTACAAATATCTGTAATTATTTCTCGTATATCCAATATTGAAGCAGGTTCAGTTTCGTACAATTTTTGCTTCAAATAGACCCATAAAAAAATGTCTAAAGGTGTCAAATCTGGCGAGCGGGCTGGCCATTCCATAGGACCTCGACGACCAGTCCAACGACCATGAAAAATAGCATCCAAATAGTTCCTTACTAGTATGGAGTAATGTGGTGGTGCTCCATCTTGTTGGAGTACAATATCCATATCGATATTATTATCGATAATATTTTGAACACTAGGAAAACCAAAAACTAAGTGAGAATATTTTGACTAAACAATTAATGTTCGTTGACGTACTAAATTTTTTTGGAATTTTTTTAACCAAAAATAACCTGTCAAACCTTATCGGTTTGTTGGGATTGCTATTTGGCATAGATAAACAAATAATTCTAGAAAAATTGATATTAATTTGTTTGTATTCAGGTATTTATTAAATGTTCCGCCATTTTGTAATGGGTGAAGATATTGACTTTATATTCCAGGGTTGTAAAGTATTTGTCAGGAGCTTCAAAATGATGTATCACAAGACCCCCCTTTCCATTTAAATTTATTTCTCAAGATGGCGTCCAGTCGCCATCTTGAAATTTTCATCTGTCAATTTTACTCCAAAATATAGTAATCATGCATTAGTTTTGTTACCCTAAATTTCAATTTTCTAAGTTGACATTAAAGAAATGCACTGTACGAGTGCAATAAAGACAATTTCTGTTGGTCTCATATAAAAAAAAGAAAGAGTGATATTTTATTGTAGAATTGGAACTTTCTCATTCTAACCCACTGTTGTTTGAATAAATAATCTTTCTTTTTTCAACTCATATTATTGACCTATTGCAAACAGGTTTATTTTCTCATAATTTCTGGTCGCACTGTATATAAATATAGCTGTCAAATTAATCAACTCAATTTATTTATTTATATATTTTAGTGCAACTTCCACTCCACCCACGGCGTTTCCTGTTTAATTATCTCTTATTTTTTTTTCGCAATTAGCATAAATGTCGAAAGAAATGCAAATATGCCGAAAATGTTGTAAATAAAATTCAAATCAGTCAATTACCGATTAAAAAGGCCGTAATTAAGATAGTCGTGGACTTGTCAACGAATTTTCGAGATAATGGCGAATTAACATAAATATATACGCGAATCTTCCGCGGGAACGAATTTTTTTTTTATTTTCTGCTACGTCGATTAAATATTAAATTCATAATTTTCGGATTAACATCTAAATTAATACGAGTTCCTTTCGCGAAACTTTTGTATATACCGGGTGAGGTGAGTTTTTTTTTGCACAGTTGGCAATGCTTGTATCTGCAGTATAACCAATTGCTGCGTTGCCAACATCTCAAAATAAAAGTTCCCAACTATATTTTTGTATAACCATGCACCTCGAATTTACGCGCTTGTTACAAATGTCGTGATTTTGCTTCATTAGCCGAATTAAACGTATTTGTAACCAGACAAAGCTAATTAGTCGGAAACTACAACAATGACCAATTCAAAGCGAGCTTCAATTTTACGTGTTCCATCACAATAACGCGACCCTTACACTGGAAAACGTGCTATTTATAATTCTTACTAAACAGTCATTCGAATTAGTTCTCGAGTTTAGTTTAGTACCTTATATACAGGGTGTTAATTAATTGAGTGCCGATACTTCAGGATGTGCATATTTGGATGATTTTAAGAAGAAAAGTTTATATCAATGTGTGTTCTAAACCTCTTAATTTTCGAGCTACAGGGTGTTAAAATTTTAGAAAAAAAAATAACATCATAATTTTCTTATTACATCAGATATTTTGTGAAATTTCGGACGTGGACGTCACTAATAATAGTAGAAAATTAATTTTTATCCCAAAAAAAGTGTTTCCATGCATGATGGGCGCCTATCAAATTTCAACAAAATATCAAAAGCAGTATCAAAATGAACTTGTGAAAAAAATGGTTTTGGTTTTTATTTTTTTTCTTATCGAATTTGCTACAAAATAAATTAGGATTTTAAAAATAATTTTAGTTTTTAGAAAAAACAGTGGTGTACCATTTTTTTTCAAAGATATTCAGTTCAAACCCCGTACGGACGTCACTGGTGAATATTTAAAAAATCTTATGCCTTAAAAAAGCTCAATAATTAAAAGGTGTATACAAAATTTCTTAAAAATAACTGGAGCAATAAGAAAATTATGATAGAAAAGTTTTTATTCTAAAATTTTAACACCCTGTAGCTCGAAAACTAAGAGGTTTAGGACATAGATTGATATAAACTTTTCTTTTTTAATCGTCATTCAATTAATTAACACCCCATATAGTGACTTCAAAATGTCTTTATACTCACCTGACTAATACCAATTTATTAGGATGATAATAAAGAAGATTCAGAAGATTCATTTTTTTCTAGTGTACACTAAATTAGATATAAATTCGTACAAAGGATGAGGAAAATCGCGTGGTGTAAATTCCTGACGTATAAATATAATAATTATTTTTTGTCATTACACCGATTAAAATTGTAGCGAACTTAATTAACACACTCGGTTGCAATTTTTTATAATTACGAGCGATTTCAATTATTAAACCATTGTATTTACTACATTGTGTCTAGCACGCAAACATGATAAAAAAAAATGAAAATATAAATATCATATGGATTTCCTACTGTTACAACGATATTATTATTTCATTATGTATTATCTTTTGGGCGAGCATAATGAATACTAATTTCCCCTGCATTTTTTTTATCTCTGATGTACTGAAAAAAAAAATAACCAACAGTAGGTACAGCTTTTGATGCATTTCAATTTAGGTACTAATATAATACTATCTTCTTCGACGTTTGGGCATTTTAATAGCGAAATTATCTGTTCTCTGACACACTCATATCGCTGCCTTATCTGATCGAAATGTGATACTGGCACCGCAACGAAACGGGAAATGGTTTTTAATTAAATATTTTTCGGTCGCCTTGCTACACCTGCAATTAACCCATATTTTTAGGGCTGTTGGCTTCGTTAAAAACTTGAAATAACGGAATAAGCGATCGCCGTGAATAAATAGGAAAAAAAATCTGAGTAATTGCGTTGTCAGTGAACGTGTTAAAGTCGATATTTGGTAAATAATGGATCGAAAATGGCGATTCAGTGAATTCTCTTCGGTAAATTTAGTAATTTTCGTCATATTAAGTTGCCGTCCTGAAATGTCAGTACCCGTTTGACGTACGATGAACTATGGCGGATAATTTTCTCACAATCGAACAAATACACCTTTATTTACTCCAAAACGGCGGTAAAGTGAAAAATCGCGACGCCGTACGGCATTTCAAAGGATATTTAACCGATCCACTAACTAAAGGTAAACGATTTTTTGTTCCATTCATCGAATTAGGTTAGAATTTTAAGTGTTTTAGTTTATAGTGTCAACAACCTGTAGATTCGATTTATTAAAATTGATCGTTTTTTATGAACTATTACACGAGTAGTGTTGGTGTATACGAATAAAACTTAATAATGATCGTTATTTTATTGTAATTGGTTATTGTTAGTTAGTTTTTATTGTTAGGTGTAAGAAATTAGGGAAGAGTGAGGTTAGGTCGGTATATTTACACAAACTTTTTTTGATTCATTATACTTTTAATAACTGTTTACAAAACAATTTATACATCTACTCACTAACGATACAGTTTCTACGTACACACGAATTACTTATTTATAAGAAACGATTCCTTACAACTTGTTTTTCGTTGCCACGAACACTGTTCCTTCGTACCGATCGAAAAAAAAAACCTATTACAGTACAATTACTAATCGCAATCGCATTGCTTGAATTCCCTGCCGCTTATTAGCGCATTCCTCGCCTATCGCGATGACTAAATCGCACAAATCCACCGGCAATTTGATTTCTTATATACATATATCGATCGATCGAATCCCGTCCGATCGAAGCCATGTTCTGCAACGGCAACAAAAACGCGAAGAAACGCAAGAGCATCAGTAAGCATTCAGTGTTGTTAAGTAATTAATTACAAGCTCCTCGATTGTAATTCATTTGTAATTCAATTACTCCTTTCGTTAGAATTACAATTGCATTTTACAATTACATTTCAATTACATTGGACACAAAAGTGCTTAGTTAATATTTTCAATACGTGGAAAGTTTAATTTCGATTGCAAATTCCTAAATAATTATTTAAAACTGACTCCGAAGCAAAGTAATTGTGAGTGTAATTGTAATTGTAATTGTAACTTTAATTGTAATTGTAATTACATTCGCAAATTTCGTAATTGTAATTGTAATTAATTACAAATTGCCAAAAGTAATTGTAATTGCAATTAATTACATATTATAAAGTAATTTTAACATCACTGTTTAAAACTGACACCAAAGCAAAGTAATAGTGAGTGTAATTGTGATTGTAACTTTAATTGTAATTGTAATTGTAATTACATTCGCAAATTTCGTAATTGTAATTGTACAATTTGCCAAAAGTAATTGTAATTGTAATTAATTACATATTATAAAGTAATTTTAACATCATTGGTCCCTGTCTACCTTAGAGGTGTGTGAAGTTGGCAACTTTAGTTCTCAGTAGTTCTGATTAGAGTTCTGGATTCCTTTTGGATAGTTTAGGAGTTCTTTTGTACAAAAAATAATAGTTCTGGTGTTTTAACACATTATTTTTTTAAATAAAACATGCGGTGCTAACTTCAAACCTAAATTTACAATGGAATAGTTCTGATTAGTTTATTTGATGTATTTTGATGAGTTCTAGAATTCCTGAATATTAAAAAATAATAATAATAATAAATTTCATCAATAAACAAGTATAAACAGTTAATCAATTAGATATATTATCAGACAACCCATAACTTTATAATTATTGAAAAATTCGCAAAATACCATTAAAGTTTTTTGTAGAACTCGTCGAATACTATTCAGAACTGCTCTCAGAACTCCTGAGATCTCTCAAAAAATTTTCAAACTCGGACTTTTCAAACTCAAAAACTATTGTTTTAATCAAAATTTCTCAGGAGTTCTGAAGATGACAACTATTCCATTGTAAATTTAGGTTTGAAGTTAGCACCGCATGTTTTATTTAAAAAAATAATGTGTTAAAACACCAGAACTATTATTTTTTTGTACAAAAGAACTCCTAAACTATCCAAAAGGAATCCAGAACTCTAATCAGAACAACTGAGTACTAAAGTTGCGGTGCCAACTTCACACACCTCTACCTTAGCTATATTTTTGAATTATTTCGTGACGAGAGTAGAGTTTATTAATTTTTTTTATGTTAGAATTGTGGCAATTTTAATTAATTCAATTCTCTTGCAGATGAGAACCGGTCCCGGTTCAAATCCTACGTCAACACCCTGGCCCTATCGAAGACCGAAGGCGACGACAAAATCATCCAACTCAAACCGAAATACAGCGGCTACGATCCATCCCAGCGGCCCGCCGAGGCGCCCATAAACTCCGTAGGCCTGCCGCCCCCGGAGGCGGCGGCGCCGAGGCGAACGCCGCCGCGACCGCCGCCCTACCGGCCGCCGCCGCCGCCGCCGCCGGTGTACTCGTCGACGACGTCGCTGGACGCGCTGTCTTTGGGATCGGTGATGTCTTTGAACGAGCCGCCGCCGCAGCCGCCGCCGCCGCCGGGCGACCGGAGGCGGGATTCGGCGGACGGCGGGGACGGGAACGGCGAGGATAAGACGGTCAGCGTGAAGGAGAGGACGCAGAAGTTCAATCGGTTGGCGTCCGTGGAGGATCCGTTGAGTCCCAAGCAGGCCACCAAGTCGCCCGAGAAGGATGCCAGGAGGATTGGCAGGGTGAGTTGGTTTTTCTTTCTTTTTCTTTCTTTTTCTTTCTTTTTCTTTCTTTTTCTTTCTTTTTCTTTCTTTTTCTTTCTTTTTCTATTTCTTTCTTTTTCTTTATTTTTTTTGGTGGTTTTGGTGGTTTTGGTTTGTGTGGTGTTAGAGTAGGTTTGGAGTTGATTCAGAGTAGGAGAAGAGTAGAATAAGAGTGGTTTATTCAGAGCATATTCTTGGTAGAATTAGAGTAGATTCGGAGTAATTTCGGAGTAGATTCAGAGTAGAATAAGAGTGGTTTATTCAGAGCATATTCTTAGTAGAATTAGAGTAGATTCGGAGTAATTTCAGACGAGATTCAGAGTAGAATCAGAGTAGAATCAGAGTAGATTCGGAGTAATTTCAGAGTAGATCCAGAGCAGAATAAGAGTAGTTTATTCAGAACGTCTTTATAGTAGAATCAGAGTAGATTCGGAGTAAATCAGACGAGATTCAGAGTAGAATCAGAGTAGAATCAGAGTAGATTCGGAGTAATTTCAGAGTAGATCCAGAGCAGAATAAGAGTAGTTTATTCAGAGCGTCTTTATAGTAGAATCAGAGTAGATTCGGAGTAAATTCAGAGTAGATCCAGAGCAGAATAAGAGTATATTCAGAGCATCTTTATAGTAGAATCAGAGTAGATTTGAAGTAATTTCAGTGTAGATCCATAGTAGAATAAGAGTATATTTAGAGAATATTCATAGTAGAATCAGAGTAGATTCGGAGTAATTTCAGAGTAGTTCCAGAGTAGTATTATAATAGTTTATTCAGAGCATATTCATAGTAGAATCACAGTAGATTCGGAGTAATTTCAGAGTAGATCTAGAGTAGAATTAGAGTAGTATATTCAGAACATTTTTATAGTATAATTGAAGTAGATTCGGAGTAATTTCAGAGTAGTTCCAGAGTAGTATTATAATAGTTTATTCAGAGCATATTCATAGTAGAATCACAGTAGATTCGGAGTAATTTCAGAGTAGATCTAGAGTAGAATAAGAATATTCAGAGCATCTTTATAGTAGAATCAGAGTAATTTCAGAGTAGATCTAGAGTTGAATTAGAGTAGTATATTCAGAACATTTTTATAGTATAATTGAAGTAGATTCGGAGTAATTTCAGAGTAGTTCCAGAGTAGTATTATAATAGTTTATTCAGAGCATATTCATGGTAGAATCAGAGTAGATTCGGAGTAATTTCAGAGTAGATCCAGAGTAGAATTAGAGTAGTTTATTCAGAGCATATTCATGGTAGAATCAGAGTAGATTCGGAGTAATTTCAGAGTAGATCCAGAGTAGAATTAGAGTAGTTTATTCAGAGCATATTTATGGTATAATCTAAGTAGATTCAGAGTAATTTCGGAGTACATCCAGAGTAGAATAAGAGTATACTTAGAGCATATTCATTGTAGAATCAGAGTAGATGCAGAGTAGAATAAGAGTGGTTTATTCAGAGCATATGTTTCATAGTAGAATCAGAGTGGATTCAGTGAAGATTCGGAGTAATTTCAGAGTAAATCCAGAATAGAAAAAAGAGTATATTTAGAGGATATTCACAGTAGACCTAGAGTAGATTTCGAGTAGATTCCGAATAGTGTAACAGCAGTTGTTACCCGCAATTGTGTCGATTAAAATCGTCGAATTGTAAAACAACAAGCTCGATCGGCGCCCGTAACACAATTACGAATTATGTTATTTTATCGTTTCTTTTTGTTTTAATTTTTTTTTTTGTTGTATTCGTTGTCGTGTTGTTTGTTCTCTCGGGCGAATAGCAAGTCACCAAAATGGCGACGCAGAGGGGGAGGGCACGTGGGTCTCTCTTTCTCTCTCTATCTGGGCAAAGCAATTTGTGATCGCAGCGGGGTTAAATAAACACGGCAAGAGGAAACGGTGAAGAAGAAAAAAAAAAAAACAAAAAAAAAACAAATAGAAATTAAAATTAAACGACCGAATGACAGTTCACATTCTTATAACCGACGAAGGTTCCGATCATTAGTCATCCCGGTGAGATACGTTATCGCGACGTCTATAGGTGTACTCTTAGCGATGATTACATGGTAAAACGTTACCGTATTCAATTAGCCGATAAATTCGATGACTGTGCATCTGTCGATTATCGAATTTATTAGTTTCGGTACGTCGTTAATCAAAACTTTTATTTATTATTTTTTTTTTTATTTTATTTAATTAACTCCGGATCTCCACGTCCTGGAGCACTTCGAAGATGATTTCGAATATTTTTCATATATCTCCGGATTATTCTTCTTTATGAAAAATTCAAACTCTTGTTTCTTGCACTTTGAAGATGATTTCCAAAATTTTTCATATATCTCCAGATTATTTCCCCTTTATGAAAAAATCAAAATTCTTGTTTCTTATTTAATAAACTCGTTAGAAACCTCCTGGTGCATTTTGAAGATGATTTCCAATATTTTTCATATATAGTATCTCCAGATTATTCCCCTTTATGAAAAATTCAAACTCTTGTTTCTTGCACTTTGAAGGTGACTTCCATTATTTTTCATATATCTCCGGATTATTCCCCTTTATAAAAAAATCAAAACTCTTGTTTCTTATTTAATTAACTTGCTATGGATTATTCCCCTTTATAAAAAAATCAAAATTCTTGTTTCTTATTTAATTAACTCGCTAGAAACCTACTAGTGCACTTTGAAAATGACTTCCATTATTTTTCATACATCTCCAGATTATTCCCCTTTATAAAGAAATCAAAATTCTTGTTTCTTATTTAATTAACTTGCTATGGATTATTCCCCTTTATAAAAAAATCAAAATTCTTGTTTCTTATTTAATTAACTCGTTAGAAACCTCCTAGTGCACTTTGGAGATGATTTCCATTATTTTTCATATACAGTGTGTCTACTTAAGTTCGCACCATATGGAAAACTTTTTTATTATTAATTTTACGAAAAAAAAGTTATTCTTCATAAAAAGTTCTGCATGTTTTAAAACCTAAAATACAATCATCAGATATCTAATTTTTTCAGTCGTATACGAGGTTTGTCAGAAAATATGAATTTTGCTCAAAAGTAAAGTAAATCTATTTTTGAAAAATAGTGGAAATTGTTATCTGTTCTCTCTTTATTCGTTAAAAATTTGATTACATTTACATCTCTTAACCTCTATGTTGCATTAGTTTGATTATGCATTGAAATTAATGGTAACAAAATAATTTATTTTACAATAATTATCGACTACATAAAAACATTGCTAGGTGTTGATAGTTTAAAGAAGAAAAATAGATTACTTACTTATAATTGGATGTAATTACTTATTTGAACGTAATTTTTAGTCTTGATCAACTTTTCTTAATAACAATTTCCGATATTTTCAAAAATAAACTTACTTTACTCTTGAGCAAAAAACACATTTTTTTGACAAACCTCGTATACGGATTAAAAAATTTTTATCTGATGGTTGTATTTTAGGTTACAAAACATGCAGAACTTTTTATGAAGAATAACTTTTTTTTCGTAAAATTAATAATAAAAAAAGTTTTCCATATGGTGCGAACTTAAGTAGACACACTGTATATCCAGATTATTCTTCTTTATGAAAAAATCAAAACTCTTGTTTCTTATTTAATTAACTCACTAGAAACCTCCTAGTGCACTTCGAAGATGACTTCCATTATTTTTCATATATCCAGATTATTCTTCTTTATGAAAAAATCAAAATTTTTGTTTCTTATTTAATTAACTCACTAGAAACCTCCTGGTGCACTTCGAAGATGATTTCCATTATTTTTCATATATCCAGATTATTCTTCTTTATGAAAAAATCAAAATTTTTGTTTCTTATTTAATTAACTCGCTAGAAACTTCCTAGTGTACTTTGAAGATGATTTCCAATATATTTTATATATCTCCAGATTATTCCCCTTTATAAAAAAATCAGTTTCTTATTTAATTAACTCGCTAGAAACTTCCTAGTGCACTTTGAAGATGATCTCCAATATTTTTTTATATATCTCCGGATTATTCCCCTTTATAAAAAAAATCAAAACTCTTGTTTCTTATTTAATTAACTCGCTAGAAACCTCCTAGTGCACTTCGAAGATGATCTCCAATATTTTTCATACATCTCCAGATTATTCCTCTTTAGGTATAAAAAATCAAAACTCTTGTTTCCTATTTAATTAACCCGCTAGAAACCTCCTAGTGCACTTTGAAGATGATCTCCAATATTTTTCATACATCCCCAGATTATTCCTCTTAAGGTATAAAAAAATCAAAACTCTTGTTTCCTATTTAATTAACCCGCTAGAAACCTCCTAGTGCACTTTGAAGATGATCTCCAAAATTTCTCACACATCCCGAACAGTCCCCTTTTATCCTCCATATCTACGCAACAATGGTCCACTTAATTCCGCCCTAATTGAAAATCCTAAAGTGGCCTATCCCCCATTAAATTATCAAGAAGCGAATCCGCGAGTAGACAGCCCCCCGGGGGTGGGTAGGCAACCGTCTCTCCCGCCTCTCCACGGCACGCGCCTTCTCTTTTTTGTACCTTTTTTTTTTATATATAAAAGGACTCTCGTTGTTCTTGTAACGGTAGAAGAAAAAAGGACTATTGAGGTAACTTTTCCGGGCTCGTAAGTCGAGATAATTGCTTGGGAAAACGGTTCGCGTTTAGCTTAAGTTGATTAATTAAATAATTGATACAACGTCTATTATTGTTGCTTAAAAAGGGTGTATTTTTTAATCCTGTAGGTATGAAGAATAGTTCTGGTTGAAAAGGGGGATTGTTTGAGGTCATAGTAAACTCAATTTACTATGGGGTTAAAGGTTAGAGTCTTACAAATATCTAGAACACCCTGGCATACAGGGTGTTAATTAATTATGTCTAACACTTCAGGAGGTATATAAACATACATGGTGTCCCAATGAAAAGTAGCCCCTTTAGTGAGCTAATATTTTTTAAACGCCTAATGATAAAAACACGCAGATATATTTTATTTTGCTA